GTCCGGAAGACTTTTCGTTTTCTCTTTAGGGGTTGTGTAACGCATTTACAATAATTAAACAGCGTGGTAGGAACAAAAAAAAGAAAAAAGAGGGGAAGAAAGGAAGAAAATTAGGAACATTGGCTTTAGGGGGTCTCGTAAATAGTTCAACCGTGCGAGAAGAGGTTTTGGCCGTGAACAAACCAACAACAGGAAGCTACAGGACAACACGACTGACAGCGACGCGATCGACTTCGTGAATGCTATTAATATAGATTTTGACTAATGGCCGCGGGACGCGGGTCCAATGTCGCTGTCGCGGGTCTAAAGTCGCGGTCGCAGGTCCAATTTCGTGGTCGCGGGTCCAATGTCGCGGTCACGGGTCCAAAGTCGCTGGTGGGGAAAGTGATTTGCGTGAAATTTAATTTAGAGTTCGAGGTAACTGAGAGAAACTGACTGATAATATAAAGGAAAAAAATCGTTTTTATCCACGATACTCTTCGTTAGCTAATTTACAGGTTACTGATGTTAGAGTCATGAATATAATGCTGGCTAAAGAAAAGACTTAAAAGAAAAAGCTGGCCCACTTTTGCGTTCGCCGTAAGTTTATTATTGTTTCTTTCTATCAGGCCCAGTTATGTGTAAATTCAACTTTGGATACACTTAAGCATAACAGTATCTGATGGAAAAAATTGCCATAAGATACCGTCGTTTTCCTTTGGGACTGACTTGGACAACACTATACTTTTTCCGCTACTTTAAATTGCTTAAACCTACACAAATGCTCAGCCGTGCATTCACTGAAAAATATGCGATAGACTTCCGCATAGACTACAAATTATAAAAGTTAAATCAACGTTTCAGGCTAACTTGGGCTCGAAAAGCTTCGAGTCTGTCAGTAGAAGAAACGAGAACTCTTTCATAAATATAAAAATCTTTTTCGGCGAAAATAAAGAAAATGTAAACAGGTAGACCAAACTTTATTCAAGCGGTATTCAAGGCATAGATTATGGAAAAAAAGTCAGAATAATCAAAAGAAAGGCGAAAAGTGTTTGAAGGCTCTCATAGATTAACGTTCCTCGAATCAAGACTTTCGCTTAATCCTTTTTTTACAACTATATAAAGAACTTGTTCGTTTGACTTAAATGGCAACCAGAATAACTGTTTACAACCTGTGATAGGAACCCGTGTATTGAACGTCTCAGTCAAATCTTGGAAACATGTATCGTAACTATTAAGTGACAGGAAATAATTGCGCCCGACATCATAAAGAAAGTAAACCAGACACTGAGAACAGTAAAAATCAACCTTGATACCTGAGAAACAGGTCCTGAAAGACAATTAATTAGGTCAGTAAAAGCCTGTGTGAACTTTCCAAAACGCTGTCATCTAAGCTTACGCTCTCGATTTCCTCCTCCTCCTGGCAACCACAAACAAGTAAACAAACCATCAAACCAGCTCTGAACAAGACATAAAGAGTTTAAAACTTAAAAGTACACGACGTTTCAGTTTTCGGTAAACAAAATGAATTCACCTGTCAAAACTTTGACCAATCTGCGACTAAATTGGTCCTGGAGCGTGACCAAACTAAAAGCACATCCAAATGATCAAGCGTCTATATAATTTGAGGGGTCTACCCTGGGGCGTTTAGAGAGGATGCGTTTAAAAGAGAGAGGCGTATATTCTCATAACTGTAACAAGCTCAAAAAACTAATATGCTCACGGCAAAAATATCAAGAGAATTTAAGAATAGTGGAGTATATCGATTCATATCCCAACGTCGATAACAGAACCCCTTTAGCTATCCTAACTTTGAACTTGACGTTGAAGAAGATGAAATACGCCTGCTGTTAGTCAAACAAGAAACTGAATGAATTGAATAACGGTTTGCTGTCCTTTTTCTAATGGGCCTCTCGCATTAGTTGATCTATCCTGTAGTTGATCACGTGATCAACTTTCAGTAAACACGAAAACAGTTCGTTTTTAAAAAATTTTGTTAGCAAGAGCCTAAAGAGCATATTAAAATAAGGTAACCTGTTAGTTTTCAACCGTATATCTCAAAAGTAGCGATTGCCACGGCCGCAGAAAATTAGAAGGATTCGTATAAGAAAAAAAGCTCTTGTCACCCGTCACCTCTCTCTTTTAAACGGGTAGTGTAGGAGCTGCTCATAAGGTCTCTCCTGATTGGTCGCGGGAAACAATGATATGTCATTCTTTCAATCGTCTTGTTTGGAGTCAGGGCACCATTGGTGACTTCTCTTCAGAGTAGTGCTACATGAGCCCTCTTTTAACGCGTCTTCTCTAATAAACGCCCGTTTCCGTCGGGCATTGTAAAATTAAAAAAAAAAAAAGAAAAGCGAAAGTCTTGCTTCGAAAATAACGAAAATGTAAACAGGTAGACCAAACTTTATACAAGCGGTATTCAAGGCATAGATTATGGAAAAAAGTCAGAATAATCAAAAGAAAGGCGGAAAGTGTTTGAAGACTGTCATTGATAAACTGTTCCATGGCAGCCTTGAGACACTTCTCGCCTTTCTTTTGATTATTCTGACTTTTTCCCATAATTCATGCCTTGAATACCGCTTGAGTGAAGTTTGATGCGCCTTTTATTATTTTCTTGATATTTGCCGAAACGTTTCTAAATATGAAAGATTTCTCGTTTCTTCTACCGACAGTCTCGTAGCTTTTCGAGACCTAGTCGGCCGTTTTAAAAAAAGTTTTAAGTCGTTGTAACGTTTATAATTTGTAGTCTATGAAGTCTATCCCACATTTTTCAGTGAATTGACTCCTGAGCATTTGTGTGGGTTTAAGCTATTTAAGGTGGCTCGACTGGATTTTTTGGGGGAGATACCTCCCACGTTTGAGCATTAACTACGTCGGCGTGAGTAAAGATATGGGAAAAAGGTTACCACAACTGTGTTATATAATGATGGAAATTTCTTATGATCTGGGTTTTATTGCAATCGGAGTCGCCATGGCAACGTAATGACGCCATTACGCTTTTTATTTATTTTGTGTTTCTCTGTACCAGGAGTTTTATAGTGGTTTGATTGCATTGAAAACTGCATACAAAAAAAGGGGGGAATTGCTCTGAGCGATCGCGAGTAAGAAGAATTTTATTGACTTGCATTCAGCTGCTTTTGTTATAGTTTTTGGACGTAATTTGGTCCATGCCTACAAATTTCGCATTTTTCAAAAAACCGCTCGATAAATTTTTTTATAAATTTGACAATCTGGAGATCAGTTATTAATAAATAATCCCTGCAAGTTTCAAGAACATTGAAAACAGGGAAGGCGTTTAAAAAGGGCCTCAAATATAACCAATTTTTCCCCGAGATTTTGTGTTTACAAGTGAGCGGCCTCATTATTCACTGGCATTGTTTTCAAGTTTCATATACACGTGCACATTTAGCAAAAAGATAGAATTTGCATCAAAAGGACCCTCGGTTATATCTCGGGAATATGCTAATTACCGGGTAAAGAGATTAGTGATACATCATAACATCAGATCAATTCTTTGTAAGAGTTTCTGTGATGTTATAACCCGAGTAAGATAATTAAGTATTGTATCCTACACGATGAGCGGTGACGTTCATCGTTTCGGCTCTCACTGCTATCGGTGACACAAGCCAATTATTAGTATATTCCGGATATTTCTTCGGAAAGCAATCGAGAGTTCTTTTTGATGCAAATTTATATCTTTTGCTAGTTGTGCACGTGCATATGAAACTTGAAAACAATGCCAGCGAACAAAGAGGACGCTCACTTGTAGACACAAAATCGGGGGAAAAATTGGCTATATTTGAGGCCGTATTTAAAAGCCTTCCCTGTTTTCAATGTTCTTGAAACTTGCAGGGAATATTTATTGACAATTGATCTCCAGATTGTCGAATTTATAGAAAAAAATTATCGAGCGCTTTTTTGAAAAATGCAAAATTTTTAGGCATGGACCAAATTACCTCCAAAAACTATAACAAAAGCAGCTGAATGCAAGTCAATAATATTCTTCCTACTCGCGATCGCTCAGAGCAATTCCCCTCTTTTTTTGTATGCAGTTTTCAATGCAATCAAACCACTATGGGATGACGCCGCGTTTCCAAAGCTTATCAGTTTCTCAAAATGTTAGCGAATTGTGTGGATAGCATGGTATTTCACTGTTTTTATGATTGTTAAAACTGCGTGTCAAAATATTTCGAAAACGCTCGCAGAGAATTTGTTGAAACTTTGCCATAATGGGGGCAATTATGGCAGGTACATAATCCCTTAAGCGATTTCTTCAAAAAACTCTTGGTAAAGAGAAACACAAAGATAAATAAAAAGCGTAATGGCGTCATTACGTTGCCATGGCGACTCCGATTGCAATAAAACCCAGATCATAAGAAATTTTCATCATTATATAATACAGTTGTGGTAACATTTTTCCTATATCTTTACTATACCTTACGGTATTTTTTTACCAGATACTGTTATGCGTAAGTCTATTCAAAGCTGAATTTACACATAACTGGGCCAGACAGAAAGACAAGAAATAACACTACGGCGAACGCCAAAGTCGGCCAGTTTTTTCTTTTAGGTCTTTTCTTTAGAAAGTATTAATTTATATTGACTCGAACATTTGTAACCTGAAATTGACCACCGAAGAGTATCGTGCATAAAAACGATTTTTCCTTTATATTATCAGAAATTTCATTCAGTTACCTCGAACTCAAACTTAAATTTTACGCAAATCGTTTTCCCCAGGATCCGCGACCGCGACTTTGGACCCGCGACCGCGACTTCGAACCTGCGACCTGCGACCCGCGATCCGCGACGATTATTCAAACTCCGCCTCTCGTGTTTATATCAGGCTATGCAAACACGGAAAACGTTTTCTTTTGCTTAATTAAAAGGCATCAAACAACCATGTGAACAATGCGAACAGCCATGCGGGAATGAAACCTCTGCTCACAGGGTAGGGCACAGTCTGTTACTATTATATGGGGTAGGCATGCTGCTTGGTGACCTGGCCAGTTCTAAACAAGATGGCGGCAATCCACGCTCTATCAGCGTACGGTGATAGCGATTCCGACGAAAATGAAAGTGTCGAAGAGGAAATCACACCAGATCATACTGCACATCTTAACTCTGACGTCTCAATTTCTAAACTTCAGTCCAAGATTCAGCTAAAAAGTGCTCCCGAAGTCACTGCAAAGGTAGGTGGAACCATCAGTAGATTAGCTTACATGTACATTGAACGCTACAATCTTGGACAAAATAGAATGGAACAGCAAACCCCCATCCCCCCCAAATCAAGGATGAAGCCGCCCGAAAAACGCGCCATTTTCCCATCCTTGATTTGGCGGGGAGGGGGGGTCTAGGTTTTCCATTTATTTTGTCCAAGGTTGTCTCGAAGTTGTCTAAGTCACGAAATAGTGGTCACTGTTAATTAGAGAGTCATCTTTCAACACATTTATCGGTTGAAAACACTGGTCTGTGACCCGCAGTCACAAGTGTCACCGAGGATGTCCACACTTACTATACTCTAAGAGAACATTTTTGCACATCGTGTCTGGGAGGTTAGAAAAAGGTGCTCTTGAACATGGAATTACTTGCAAATCATATAAAGAGTTCTGTAACAGGGTAAAAAGGACCATGAATGTTATTTCTCAGGAGTCACTAGACTGTGGACTTGTTATACCTTGCTGAAATACCAACAACGATGAAAGGCTAAAACTTAACTAATTAAAACTTTTAAACTGTGTGTAGCGTACTCGAATTTTGTTAAAATGACAAGGTTGACGTTTCACTGACGGTTTACAAAAGGTTTTTGTGTGATTTAAGATGGTTTGCAGCGGTTTTCAACGGTTAATCACGATTAACAGCCAAGTGACTCACTGTCTCTTACTTTATTGTACCAAGACAAAATCGTGAAAAACTGATAAAAACCGTCGGTAATCTGTTGTAAATCGTGCTAATCCTCATGTTTGTCAACATTAATCGTATTCAATTTCCTAGAGTGAAAAAAGCCAATCTGTATAGATAAAATATTGCTAACAACGATCTATAAAGGCACTGATACAGTTCTTAAAAATAGCGCCAAGGCAACAGCCTCTCCATAAATTACATAGAGGTCTAGCGTGCAACATCGGCGAGTAGGAGTAGCGTACCAGAGGTTTTTTCGGCAGGTTCAAGTCTCGTTTGTAGCCAAATTAATTTTTTTTTCTTACTGTAATTATTCCTGCAATTACCAGCCGATGCAATTTCTATATATGTTTTGTGGGGTTCTGCCTTCAAGCTTGTTAAAATTATTGCAATGAATCAGGCATAAGTTTGTCTTTTTTTTGTCTTCCCCGCAGCAGAACTCTCTCGTAGTGAGTAAGGCATACCGCACTTCATACAGACTTATGATAAGTGAATTCTTCTGTTTTGTATGAGTTCACTGACAAATGACCAGGTTTGCTTTGAAAGCATTTAGCTTTGAAGCATTTAAACGCAGATTTCTTGTCATGATTGTTATCATGACGCTATGAGTAACGCCAGTCGAGGCTTTCAGACAATCTTGGACAAAATAAAATGGAACAGCAAACCCCAATCCTCCCCCCCCCCAAATCAAGGATGAAGCCGCGTGAAGGGCAAAAACGCACCATTTTCCCATCCATGATTTGGGGGGGAGGGGAGGTCTAGGTTTTCCATTTATTTTGTCCAAGATTGTAGCTACTGTAGCTAGTGTTGTTAGATTTTACGAACAGCCTGCATTGATTACTAAACTTTACTTGATTTCTTCAGATTATGTACAATTCAATTTTTTTCAGCATTCAATGTAGATTTCTCTATCATGTTACAACTGGCACGGGTTTTATATGTCTCATTCTAAACATAACTTTTGTAAGAAGTTGCCCATCTAATTGAGACATCATTCAGAAAAACGTGATTTGTCAAATCAGAGAGACAGGCATCAGTGACATCACGTCACATCAGGGACGTCACCTATGACCTTCTGCAGGTTACTAACTGTAATCCTGATAAGATCATCTGGACAAGTAACCAAAAGGTCATAGGTTTGATTCCTTTAGGGAGTAATCTAATTTTTCCTTCTGAGCCGCCTGTTTCACTGACTGAAAAATCATCTTTCTCAAGTATTCACCAGTCTCAAAATTTACCATTACATCTCTGTCAAGACATCTTGTTTGCACTTGTTTATACTGATCATGGTTAGCCTTTCGCTTGTATAACTTTCTTTGTATGTCTACTTCTACATCTGCTTTATTGCTCTTCAACATTTTACACATCTTATAGGAAGATGTTGGTGTAATTAGACAAGTGGATCCCACGGCAAAAGAAGTTACTTACAATCCACGATATGAAGAGATGTTCTCACCTCAGGTTACAATTATGTCATTTTGGAAGTATAAACTCATTTTCTGTGGATATTGATACTTGTATTAATGTAAATCTAGACCACCCCCCAAAGTAGCATACATGGGGTCTGACGGGCTCTAACTAGCCGTCGGCAAAATACACTAAGGATGTAAAATTACTACAATATATCTGATGGTCACAAGATTTTAAGTAACCAATCAGATAGCAATAAGGTTTTGTAAATTTAGTTCTAATAGCATAACTCCTTGGGTATACATGCAGTTCATAGCATAAGCAAGCAGATTACACAAGTGAGATTGTAAGCATGGTGCAGATACAAATTTCCTATCCCACCACTCCCGCAGACAGTCTTCTGGTCTTTCTGTTTGTATTCTTTTATATAATTTGACTGTAGTTTTAAGTACTTGTTTTAATCAGTTATCTCGGGTGTATTTACTTGGGTTTAAGTGTTCTTGTTGTAATGAAGACTGTCAGATCCCAAAGCATGTGTGCATGGTGGTTTAGGGTTGGTGAATAAAGTACACAATCACATTCTTTCATCACAACCATTTGAATGTCAGCTTGCATATTATTACACAATTATGCAGAATGTTTTATAATGGACAAATAATGGTAAATAGAGCATCTGCTTTTAATGAACAGGTTGGACCATCAAACCCCTTCAAAACCCGACAGCAGTCTGCTCCCAAGAATACTCTAGCAGGTACTGGGTACAAGTTGTAAATTCTTTACTTTATCAGTACTTAATCATTTAGGAAAAAGACTGCAGAACAGTTGTTTTTGTTTTCCCCAAAAATGGTTTTCTGATGCATAAAAAAGTTGTGTAAAGTACATGAGCCTCACAGGCCTGTAGCAAAACACAGGGTGCTTTCCATTCAACAAAAAATTCTGGTTTGAAATTTTGGAAATTTCACATGCCCAGTGGAACGATACATCCTGTGTGCACAGACCTGATCCAAGCCTCCGCGCGTTTGGTTATTGTTCTTTATAAGTAGGATTCAAAAGAGCACTACTGGGGACAACAATTTTGTCAAATGGAGAGGGACATTTCCGTCCAACCGGCCGAAATGATCAGACCGGTCAAAGTGGACCACCCTCAAAGCTGGTCCCAAATATTCATGTGGGACCAAACCAAAATGGTCCATTCCATTCGATGTACCAACTGAAATTTCCGGAATTTTGGGTTGAATGGAAAGTGCCTACACTCTCCATTTTCATCCTTGCTCCAGAACTTGTGTTTGATCACCTGTTCACTTGTTCTTGGCCTATGCAATTATGGGCTGTTTTGCAGTTTAGTAAGGAAAACAGTCTCTCTGCACAGGGTGGTCTTTAATTTAATACCTTTCACACAGTTGCTGTTTAATAAGACACTTCATTGCCTGCACTATGGTTAAATGCTGTACAGTGTTATTGAGTTCAGATGAGACAGGGAGGTAGCCTTCTTATAGCAAACAAAGCTTTAGTTAAGGTTCAATATAAATTATAGAGAAATCACAGTTATTTAATAGTAAGTGTCTTCCAAATATAATTTGTTTGTTAGATGAACTTTACCTACACTAGTGTGTACAGTAGAATCACGATTTCTGGAATACTCAATTCTTCAAACTAATTTGCTTTTACCAAAGGTTTGAAAATCCTGAAGCTAAAGTATTAAGCAAACAAGAGTCAGTATTTTTATAAGCACATGTTGTTCATTTGTTATGGTAAATGTCTTGTTTTAGGCTATGTTGAAGCAGCTCATATGAGTGACTTTACATTTGAAAACCAAAGAAGAACATTCACAAGTTATGGTGAGTATCCAAAATATAACAGTCAAACCTCTACTATATAATGGCCCTCTATTTGCTACTACGGTACAACCCACTTATAACTACCTGCTTTTTGTTTCTTTTCATGCTACGTAACTACAAGTAGTAGAACTGTAGTTTCAAAAATCTACTTTATAAAATGTACCTCTCATGCTCTATAAAGCGGCCAGTTTTCAAAGCCTCAATTTATCGCTCACACAAATGCCGTATTTGTTATCTGTATTAAGCGGCCACCTCTATTAAGCAGTGGTGGCCACCCTGTAGCAGTCCTATGTTTGTCTTTCTTTGTTATTTTTACCGGTATTAAGCGGGCACCCTTCAACGTCATGGAAACTAAGCCATATGTCATTTTATACGCTATTTAATTGTGTTTAAAATGCTATCCATCATTACACGCTGTACTATAAAGAAATAACATACAAAGCTACTGTAAGCTGATACTCGGCGGTCTAGTATCGCTAACACTTTTCAGGTATCCACAATGTGCTAAAGTACAGTACCATATCATGAACACTTCCTTTTTAATTAGCTTGTTCTTCAGCCATGTGATAGATAATGAATCACCTTCAAACGTACACATATACTCGCAAGGGATTTCCAGGCCCTAACCTCCACCTCTTGTGAACTTTAAGTCATAGAAATACAGTACTGTATACTGTAGAAGAGTAGGGGACAAATTTATGTTATGTATATAACTACTGTTAAGTTACAAGTTGGCACTGAACTCTGTTTAAAGTATTGATCATTTCAAAGAGTGTTGATCGTCGTATTGGTTCGTTGCATGAAGTTTTTTTGTATGATATGCCATTAATTACATTGTAGTATTAAGCGGCCAGTTCTTCAAATCTCGAGGGTGGCCGTCATGTACTGTACAAGTTTGACTGTATTATCCCTACTGTTGTTTAGTTTGTGGTAAATGGCTGATAGTCTTGAAAAAATAAACTTTGTCCACAAGTCTTAATTCTTGATGATCTTGATCCAGTTAGTGTAAATCTTATTAACAGGTTATGCATTGGATCCAAGTGTGGCAGGTGGAGCCAGTACAAGTGGCGATAGGTTGGAAACTTCTTCACCTTTTTTTGCTCTGCTGGCCTGTAGTATTAATTATTATTATTATTAATCAGCTGGTTTGAATTGTATACTCATGTAATAATATTGTAATGAGTGAAATTTGATTTTTGTTCAATATACAAACAGATTTGTTGGTGATACTGAGAAAGCAGAGGAAAAGAAAGGTAGGAATAAAACAGATAAAACAGTTCAATAATTTCCAGTCACTTAACCATTGCACATTAATCAGCAGCCCCAATGTCCTCGGGGGTTAACCTGATTTATCAATTACTATAGCATGAGGAAGTTAGAAGTGTTACTAATCCACCAGGGAGAGGATGGTAAAACTATAGCTGACTGCAGAGTTGTTCCTGGCTGGTTCTGATCCTACATTCCCGCTACTTTCTTGTTCATGAAAATCCAGCATCCTGCACCTTTTTTCACTGCTTCCTAAATCCCTTTTTTTTTTGAAAAACAATACATAAAAATGTCTAGTTTCTACAGAAGCCAATAAAAGTAAGATGAAGATTGGCCCTTTCATTATTACTGATGTTTTCATTTAAGCGTGTTTTAAGGCTATTGGAGGAAAGGAAAGCTTTTCACACCTCAGTATGACAAAAGAACACCTTTAACCATTTTGCAGGGTTTTCATGAAGAATCCTAGTAGCAGGAGAAAGGTGTAGTGTTACAGGAGAATACTTTGGAGGAAGCTCCACATCTGAATAGAAAATAGTCGTAGGCTACTGAATGTTTGCAGGAGAATTCTGTGTAGTTAGCAGAGAATTCTCCAATCTCCGATGCATAATGAACATTCTGATTTTAATCCTCACCTTGTTGATTGTCGCGATGATTTCATAAATTCCCGGCAGACAAACACAAAAAAAAATGCACATCCTGTTGGTAGATCTGGGCAAATCCCGATTCCCAGTTAGCAAAGTAATGTAGTGGAATCCTGGATCCCAAAAATACCTCTCCCGAATCTGTATTAATAATAGAATGGCTAAAGAGAGACAGTGTGGCTGGGCATATAAGTTCATTGTAAAGATATGAAATTAAAGGTGTTGACTATTCAGCCATTCAGTTTTGTGCGAGGTTGTTTGTAACAGTACAAATTGTTTAGTGAATGGTTATTGTTGGGTTGGGGTGTTATCCATCTTCATTGTATTTATGGGTTGTTGTAAGGAGAAAGTAACTATTGACATTGTTACAGACATAATACAGAGTATAATTTGTAATTTTAAAGGTGTGACAATATTTGAAGTAGCAGAAGCGCGTGCTGGTGACAAGAGAAAAAGGGAAAAGCCAGGTGATCCAGGAGATATAGAGGGATATAAAGGTAAAATTGCGAGAAATAAAGTGATCACTCAATGTTTGTTATGGTTCAGAGCTTTCAGTAGATACATGCTGTATTACCACCATATGTGTGTGTTAAATAGTGGCTTTTATTGAAGTAGAATCCTTTCAAGTTTTGAGAAAGACAAGTAAGCAAATTTTCATTGACTGTGCTGGAAAGAGCCCTTCAAAATTAGTAGAAAACTTGCCAAGTTTATACATGAAGGTGATGTGGTCCAAAGTGAGCAAAGATATTGCTGCACAAAGTCGCAAAATTTTATACAAAATGTAGTTGTTTGAATGGTGTCCATACAAATGTCTGTAAAATTCCATGACGTTGCAGAGCTACATGTATATCTTCATACGTTTTCAAAAAATCATGTGTAGACTTGGCAGTTTTAGTGATTTTAAAGTGTTCTAATTTCTACAGCCATTTTGATGGATTTTCACTTTACTTGATTCTAGTCAAAAGTTGAAAAAATCAAGGAAGGGTCTAGATATTTTGCTTTGATTCTTGATCCACTATCTGGAGTGCTGGCTTTACTCTTACTTACATTTGGCAAATGCAGGTTGCAGACTGCAGTGATGGTGCTATTTATTTTTTGTCTTTTTTTTAGGACCATGGGCAACATATGTTGATGAGTCTAAAGTTGCCAAACCCTCAGAGGTAAGTAGCCTTAAAAACTAAAATTTACTGTAAACTCAGCTTGATGAGTGAAAGAAAACTTGTCACGCTTGTTTCTTTTTGTTTTAAAAGGAACAAGCTGCCAAACTAGAGGAATTTGAGATGACAAAGCAGAAGAGAAGCAAGAAAGATGAAGAGAAGAGTGTGGAGGAAAAAACAACTTTACATGGTAAGATAGTGTAAGATATCTCACTGGTAATACATGTCTAAAAGATAACATTATTTTGATTTACAGACTTCACAGGTTTGTAGTTCTCCTTAGTTTTGTTCTTTTCTGCTCTATTCATCAGTATTGCTTTAAGACTGCAAGACACATACTTGCTTGTGTAACCCCACCCCTTCCCCTAAAAGAAGTAATCAAGAAGTGGACACATACCAATTGCCCAGTCACCATTAGTTCATGTGTAGTGAAACCCAAATGAATGTATCAAACTTGATGACTATGACTATGTTTTCTTGGTACTTTCTGTTCTTGGGGTTTCACCAAAGCTGTCGCTTCTTAAATGTAAATGTTTGGCATAATTATTACCATTATTTTGTTAGTTTTATCTTTTTGGTGTTTTGGTAGTCTGTTTTGGCTTCATTTGCCTTTGGTGGGCCTTACATGCCATCGCCATCTCATCTTGATGTACAAGTATTTTAAATAGTGTTTGTTTTTTTGGTTTTAGTTCAAGACTCAGTGGATTATCAAGGTCGATCATATCTTCATATTCCTCAAGATATCGATGTCAGACTTGATACTGATGAACCACCTGAAAGATGTTATTTACCAAAGAAACACATTCACACGTGGTCAGTTAAAGCACCTTCCTATTATTTCCTTTGTTATCAAAAGGACGATTATTTCCTCCTCTCTTCGGGAAGTTTCAACATGGCACTTTTGCGAGCAAATTGCGCGCTCAAAGAAAACGCCTGCACTGCAGGCTACCATTCATAAAATTATTATCATTGACTTATATAAATTCTATAGTGTAAAAAAAAATTAAACCATTTACATGTAGTTTATTTAGTCAGTTTATGATCTTTTTTATTTATTTGCAGGACTGGTCACACTAAGGGTGTTTCATCAATTAAGTTCTTCCCCAAGTCAGCTCATCTTCTCTTGTCCTGTAGCATGGATTGTAAGATCAAGGTAAATATTCTCTCTACCTGGTGTATGAGTATAGCTGCACACGGTACAGGCAGGGGTCTAAAAATTACTGCACTTTGCAAGGTTACTTAATGGTAATTTGATTTATGATTGTATTTCAGCTTTGGGAAGTTTATGGCAAAAGGCGGTGCTTAAGAACATTCATAGGTAAGTTTATACCAACCTCATTCCCAATGTTTTCTCCTACCTGTCCCTACTGAGCGAGAGAGAACCTCGGAACGAGGTTGAGTTTGTACAATGTCACACTAAACATAGCTGCACAGAAGATGTTGTACCTGCAGGGGAGGCGACATCCTCTTCCATGTATCACTACTGTCTGTCAGTGACAGAACATTAAGCGACATTAAGCTTGAATCACATGAGATCTCATTTTATCCAAACAGAGCAGCCTTTGTTCGTTTTATGGTGCTTTGGCATCAACGTGAGCTGTGTCACCGCGAATTAAGCGAGAGGATTAGCAAAACAACAACTTTCCACGAACATGACACTATTTGTTCCTCCCTTTCCCCTCATTGTATCGTAAGGCCGTTTCATTGCCACTTTTCAGGACGACGTTAGCACACTATAACGAATTATGAGCTTGGGCAAGGTCGCTAAGAATTCATCTCTAGGAAAATCTGACATTATTTGACTAAAATAATGAGTTAGTTGAGGTAATGGCCACAAAATTAAGGAACACGAGTTCACTCTGATCTTTAAGTGACGTTTTGACTGTTGTCGCCTTTATTTTTCCTAAATTTCTTCACCGTCGCCCATACATTTCCTATTCACAAAAAATGAATAGGTGATCAAGGACGATTTTTCTAGCAACTTTCGCTAAACGAAATATTGATAATAGCAACAGTTGTTCACCAAAACACTCTTACAGCATAGTTCAGATCAGTGTGTCACATCCTCTGTTTGATGTAACTAAAAATCGTTTGTTATGCGATAATTACAGGCCACAGCAAAGCTGTTCGTGACATCTCGTTCAACAACACAGGAACTCAGTTTCTAAGCGCTGCTTATGACAGATATGTTAAACTGTGGGACACAGAAACAGGTTTGGAAATTCTAGCTTCTTATTTGTACCAATGTGTTTCTTTAATGCCGCCTTTTAGTTTTGAGGAAGTGATGCATAATGTTAAATATTGTTACAATTGACTATATTATTGGAAAAGGTGAAGTATTTTAAAATTGTGTAAGGCAGATGGACTGATTTTGTGACGGTATTATTTTTGCAGGAGAATGTATAGGACGCTTTACCAATCGTAAGATCCCATATTGTGTCAAGTTCAATCCAGATGAGGTGATGTTCTGTAATCATCTTTCTTTTCTTTTATTCTAGAATTTAAGCTTTTAGATTACATGTAAGTCATAAAGGATGATAATCGCTACAGCTATATTGTAGCTAGCGACCAGAAGTTATGCATTTACATCATGGTTAGGACCTGGGGCGTTGAACTGCAGGAAGGAAAACAACGCTGCTGAGACGAATGTTCCCTAGTTTAGCTTTACCTTGTGATGCCTTGCTCCTCAATCTTGTGTTTAGTTTTTGCATTCTTGTTGCAATTTTTGGCTTGTTTATTGTCGTTCACACCTTCCTAGATACAATCTTGGACGAAAAGTGTGTGTTAAGAATATTGCACTTCCTCACCCACAGGACACCTAGCCACGGATTTGGTATCGCTGTGGCCCCTCTCTTCATCCCACCATGATCATGTTGTTCAGTCGAGGTCAAAAATGATCCAGCCGGCCTTCAACATTGATTTTTTTCTGGGGAAGGGGGAAGTATTAGTAGTTGTCAGTGCTTTCAAGAGCGTTAACTTGAAACTAGACCTGGCAACGTCCATTCGTCTAAATATTTTTGCCCAAGATTGTAGCTCTCCTTATAAGTTCAACGCCTTACTATCTTTGTCTCTTGCTCTACCCTTCGTTATTTAACGCTAATTTACCGCGCAAATTTTATCATCTTGCAGGACAAGCAGCATTTGTTTGTCTGCGGTACATCGGACAAGAAAATATTAACGGTACGTTGCCGGGCGGAACTCTCGTTTTAGCTTCAAGGCTGCATATAGATTTTTTTAAAACATTTTCGAGCCTTTTTAACCTTCAACGTAGTGCATTTTGCTCCTAAGTGTTATTTTGCAAGTTCCTGGTTGCTTGTATTTCATCATTCCCTAGGTTTCTTGAGTTTCGAGTTTTAGCTAGTGTCAAGTTTTCCTTATTTTAATTGTCTTTCATTTTAGTGGGATACACGAGCAAACGAAATAGTTCAAGAATATGACAGGTCAGGCCATATTTCACAACATGCTAAATTAGTTTATTTCATGATTTTACAAATTTAACGAAAACTTTGGTTTGTGTTACCTTTCTGGGTGTAAATCTAGTGCTCCTGATGTTTCAGGCATCTTGGTGCAGTGAACACGATAACTTTTGTAGATCAAAACAGAAGATTCGTCACCACATCAGATGACAAGAGCATTCGCGTGTGGGAATGGTAAGCTACATGTAATTAGAAAAAAAAAACGTCTTTTATTGTAATAGCTGAGACTTACTTACGCCGCGGTTTAAGAAATCATTGGAGCTCCAGATCTCTTTCTTAGTGAGTTATTTTAAGAAGATAAGTTCCTTTCTAGTCTACGCCACATGCTTTTACGAAATTGATCACGATAAACGGTGTTAAGATGAATGCGTTGGGTAAAATGAAATTGTGTTAGAATGTGATCTTGTTAATGACTGGTTAAACTCCGTTTACTGAAATAATCGGCTCTTAAGTGACATAAATATCAACTCTGTCAGATCTACGATTACACAAGAACAACAACAACAACAACTTTATTTGTCAATACAATAGCGCCGCAATAGTTTATCATCGGCGACGTAGTCTTGTGAGTAATTTCTCTTTCTTAACTCAGGGGCGTATCTAGGATTTTTCTTAAGAGGGGGTGCACCGCTAAGCAACTAACCACAACGTTTTTTTTTCCTGCAGAATATCAGTTGTATTAGAGACATTTTCTTTTAGATATAGAACCTATAAAATGGCTTTCGCAATATAAATATTTATTTTGTTGTAGCCTTGCAAATAAAGCTTGCTATCGCTTTTCTTTTTTTATATATGTTTTTATATATATATTTTTTTATATGTAGCATTTTTGATGTATTTATAACATTTGTCCTTGTTGTATTCTAGGGATATTCCTGTGGATTTTAAATATATCGCTGAACCTAGCATGCACTCTATGCCTGCTGTAGCTCTGCATCCAAACAGTAAGCCGGTCCACGTCACTTCATGTGTATAATTGAGTGTTTTGTTTTGTACTAGAGATATTTCTTATTTCATATTTCGATAACTAGGTAATATCTCTGGTAGATGTAAAACACATTTTAACCAGCAGTGTTGTTGTTGTTGTTTCTTTTTTTTTTTTTATTGATGTCTACATATTAAATTGTAACAATGCAAGACTAGTATCTAACTCGAAAACCTCACGGTTTATTCAGATGCTCGGCATTTCCTTACCTGTAATGTGTTTTTAGTTTTACTAATATGATATTGTATGTAACTGACAGACTAAAACTACTTTATGTAACTATAATTATTCTAAAGCGAAATATAAATAAAGCTTGTTGTTGTTGTTGTGTTATTTTTTCAGATAAATGGATGGCCTGCCAGTCGATGGACAATCAAATCATGATATTCGGTGTTCTAAATCGCTTCCGTCAGAATAGAAAGAAAACGTTTAAAGGCCATATGGTGAGTCGTCATTCCGTTTAGCATGATTTTGATTTCAACTCTCCAAGATATTAAAACGTATCAAAAGTAACTACGTTAGACTGCGTCTTCGAGTGGCAGGTTTTTGTCTTTTTCATTGTTTTGAAAGTTGAAAAACAAACAAACAAACGTAAGCGCTTTCTCAGATTTTTGAAGACATGTTTCAACAGTTTTTCCTGTCCTGATCAGTTGTAAAGTTTGATTTAAACAATTACTTAGAGTATGTAAGTCTCGCAGTAAAGTAGGAGCTGTAACTCTCAGTCACTTAAAGAGACAAGTGTAGAAATATAATGCAGTTCTATCTTTTGGATCCGTGAGCAAAATGCTATGATGTCACCATTCAAAGTGAAATTCTTCAGCCGTCTGATTTTTCACGGGTGTCTGTAAAACGCGGACCGGATACCGGCGGATGGCGGATGCGGATGGGAAAATGCGGATAGAAAAATGCGGATGGAAAAAAAAAATGCGGATAGCAGAAATTAAAAAGTAAGAAGAAAAAAAAGAGAAATGTGGATGGCAGAAAAATAATAATAATAATAAAATAAACAAACAAACAATTAAGGAAAGAAATCTTTCTTTCAAGTCGCTTTCACATGGTTGAACCCTTCACTTACATACAGACCGTGATGCCAATAGTTGACACAGTTATTTTGTACCCTGTAATTCCTTTCATTAAGGACGCTCCGTTCCTCCTCCTTAAATGCATGCATACTTGGTGCACTTCTCCTTTGAGTGTTTAGCCTAAGGTTTGCAGGCAACTTAAACAGCTCAAAAAATCGGCTAGCAAAGGTTTGCTTATTTTGCACTGGCCCCGTTTAATATTCTCCTCTTTACCAAATAAGGAGCCAATGGTCCCTGCAATCACGGGTCAGAATGCAGAATATTACCATAGCAGCATCCTAAAGCGGTGTAATTCACGAAGCAGTTTGTCTTTACTTTCGGGAGTGATCGCTATTTTTTTTTTAACATTTACTTTATTAGGAATTTCATTGTTATCACGCTAAGAAGGGGAGGCATGATTTCTTTGCTCTCACTGGATATAGTGTTCTCAACTTACAGAAAGAATATTCTCAGGCCAATCAAATCAAGACTTGTTTGTTTGAGCGGCTCAAGACAGAAAAAATTGCAGTATCAACCAGAAAAAAGGCCGAACGTTCCGATTTGGCAGATGCCAATCAACTCCGCCTGATCCGCCTGATTATTTCCCGAAAAGGTGTAAAAATAATCTGCAAAATTAAACTCCCGCAAAAAAGTGTCGCGTGGAAACGCATTAATGAAGGCTACTTTCTGTTTCATTTGTTTTTGTTTCGAATTTTTCTGCTAGCAAAATAGTTTCGAAAACATATCCTCAGTGAGTTTTTAGAACATCTGTATCGAGCAACTTAAAACTCGTTTTTAAAAGCGTGAAGGGCAGAATTCGGAATCGAAAATAATTTATAATATTCGAATTATTTGGCCCGCTCCGTCTATCTGCGAAGCAGCAACCAAACATATTTTTTCTACATGGAAAGATGTTTAATTATTAAAAATCAGAAAAAAAAACCAAGCTGCTTCTGAAGAAGACTATATAAATTTTTTAGCTATGTCTACACCAGATCAGCATTTTTTATATGTTGATGGAAGCTTTTCGTAAAACTGTGAAAATGGAACGAAGGCCAGAAAAATGACTTCGTTGAGGGTGCGGCATATTGCTTGAAAATGAATTTCTGTAGAAAAACGCTCATTAAACAAGACCGATTCACACAAAACCGAGAGGACATTGTGTAACAGAAGACCACTAGTGTAACAATAGCTTAGCTTTTGATCTCAAAAACGGGCTTCTGCTGGTGTCTGCAGTTCACAATCAGTCTCTGAACTGTCTGCTATGGCAGAGTCGACCAGAGTCAAGGCAGAGCGAAAGTTGATTTGTATTATCAGCCCTTTTGAAGATCAGGCTCCTTTGTGAGGAAACATGGCGATTTAGCGGAGGCAAGCGTGAAATAGGCGACGCAAAGCACGCCGTTTTTTTCGCGTAGTTCACCCTATTTTTTGGTTTAGTTTGTTTTCTCTAATTTTCTTTTAATTTGAGGAAATTCAGTCCTTTTCTGTTGTTGTTATCCGAACAACGTTATACACGTTTTGTTTTGTTAAGAAATGTTTTAGTGACACACTTTATATATCCAAATTTGTGTTTCTTTGTTTTTGTTCACAATTTTTTCTATCCTCATTTTGCCATCCGCATCCGCCATCCGCAGGTATCCGGTCCTCGTTTTGCAGACACCTCCTTTGCTAGCCGATTTTTTGAGCTGTTAACCTCGCCTAAAAGCCTTAAGCTAAACACTCAAAGGAGTAGTGCACCAAGTATGTGTGCATTTAAGGAGGAGGAACGGAGCGTCCTTATTTCTGTGACATTAATGAAAGGAATTACAGGGTACAAAATAACTGTGTCAACTATTGGCATCACGTTCTGTATGTAAGTGAAGGGTCCAACCATGTGACAGCGACTTGAAAGAAAGATTTCTTTCCTTTGTTTGTTTGTTTATTTATTTATTTTTTTTTTGCCATCCACATTTCTCGTTTTTTCCTTCTTACTTTTTTTGTTATCCGCATTTTTTTCCATTCGCATTTTTCCATCCGCATTTTCCCATCCGCATCCGCCATCCGCAGGTATCCGGTCCGCGTTTTACAGACACCCGATTTTTCACACGGTACTGGTTGTTTTTCAGCTTTTTATAAAATTTGTTCTCTTGTTTCAGTTATCATTGGATGGTGACTATCTTGCAAGCGTAGTGTAACGTTGTCAGACTTGTACAAACTATTCAAACCATCCCTCCCAGCGTTTCAATCATCCTTATTCTTTTACAGGTGGCAGGTTATGTTGTCAGTTGAGTTTCTCTCCAGATGGAAGGTAGAATCCTGTTTATTCAACGCTTTGTTTATTGCCTGTCGTAGTTTACATTTTAAGCAATAGAAAACGTTTTCCGTGTTTACATAGTGTGGTATAAACACGACAGGGTGTTAGGAGAATTTAACGAGGATTTGCATAAATACCAACTGTGTTTAAATACTCCCACGCAAACATGCCTCTTGGCCAATCAAAGTGCGCGTTCTATCTTGGTTATTTTATAAAATTATTTGATGTTAAATCATTATTTAGTATGCACCAAGAAACGATATAATTTTTCGTTTGCTAGCTTTACTTCGTTGTCGTAGGGATGCTTAACAACTTGTGCAATAACTTTTGAACCTTGAAATTTCAAAATCACCCTCAAAAAAGTAAATAATTCAAAACTAGACTAACTAGAGGTAATCATTGATTACCGATCTGCGTTCGTCACTTACGGAAAAATTACTGAAACGAAATCGAGTCTAAAGGAGTCTAGTTACCCGGCTGAGGTGCCCCTGATAAAATTAATAGGGGCGGCTAATTTGTAGTCGCCCGTGATAGCGTGAAAATTTGCTCCAAGTGTCACAGAAACACCAAATTAGGATGCGTTCTGACGAGCGCGGACAATGCGATTATGCTAAGCTTAAAGTTTTTATTTGTATATTCTTTGCTATAGTTACCTAATTTCTGGCGACGCAGATGGGAAACTTTGTATCTGGGACTGGAAGTCTACAAAGATCTACAGGTATTGATAACGTTGTTGTTTGCCCTGTTCTATCCAAAAATTATTGACAAATAACTAGAAGAGAGTTTTTGCTTTTCAACCAGAGGTGACCCAAGCTCGAAATATGACCATCAGCACTGTTGCGTAACGTTCAAAATATAAGGATTTGTATGAGAGAAAAAGCAATTGTTTATTCTCTAATACAAATCCTTATATTTTGAACGTTACGCAACAGTACTGATGGTCATATTTCGAGCCTGGTCAGCGGTGGTTCAACCAGACAGCTAGTAAATGACAATCTTACTTTTGAAACTTTTTTCGAATTTTGTTATTTGTTCTTTCTTTCATACGAAGATATTATTTTTGGCCGAGTGATTCATACAAGTTTATTCTGAGTCCCACTCGAAGACGATTCGTAGACTTCTTATGGTGGTCACAGAAATATTAGTTTCCACGGGTTTGGGGGTGGGTGAAATTACAGTTTTAAGGTTTTGGACCAAAATAAGTTAACCAGCTTTATCTTATGCATAACATTGGTAGATAATGCTTTGTCTTTGGTAAGGCGGACCGTGTTTTGCTGGCAGATGTCAGTGGGATTGGGGGGGGGTTGAGATCCTGTGTTTAAAATTTAGGAAATTTTAAGGGGATTATATTCCGACTTTCACACTCCTCTGTACCTTACTTCTGCTCTGCTTACTAACGCAATATTTGTCGATTTTCCTGAATAGTAAGTTCAAAGCGCATGACGCAGTATGCATCGCCTGCCTGTGGCATCCTCACGAGACATCAAAGGTGGTAACCTGTGGCTGGGATGGACTCATAAAGTACTGGGACTGAGTGATAACGGCATTTGTTTATGTGATGTCATCCAAGCAAAAACTAATGGGCACATCCAGGGCTCTTATATCGGTCGTCTAATTAAAACGTTGGATGATTTTTGAGATCGTTGCTTGGTGTTCAGTTGGGACATTTTCGTCATGGCAGAAGGAATTAAAAGATTTTATTATTAGCAGGGTTATGGGCTCCTGTTATTAGTATATTCGTCATCTAATCCAATAAAATGAAGCAAGAATTGAAAGCTCTCAGTAGTCCGAAACATGTAGAAAGAGTCCCCAAATAACATTCTGCATACCAACACAAGTAATTTTTGTTTGTTTTGTGATGCGTGCTGTCAAGTTAACTACACCGTGCATAGCATTTGACGTGGAATAAAACTCAGTTTTAGAAAACTCACCCTCGATTTCTGGTGGCGAACCTTTCGTTAGCGCTCTGCTGAAAGAAATCACGAGTACGCCATATTGTTTGTTACATAATTATATGTTTTCTGTACAGTGTATAGTGCAAATCTGGGGATATACTGGTCTTTTTTATTCATATTGGAGTCGGTATTGGAATATGTAGTTGAAGGATGTACTTTGCGACTTGTAAAATGTAAATAAAATTTGATTTTTCTCTTTCTGGTTTTTTGCTATTTTTATACTTGTTTTATTAAGCTCTATCAGCTCGGTTTTTTTCTCGGGGCGGCGCAAAAGTTATCCGGTATACTGTGAACATAACTTTAGTGTCGTCACAAGGGGACTCTTGCCCTGGTAATAATTGCCATCCCTCAATTGGTCAAAGTTATACATATGTGTTTCTAAACAAACGCATTAGAGGAAAATTTGAAAAGACTTTAATTAAAAGGGAATGTTGATTGCGACTTTTCCTCCTTCTGGGATAAGAAATCCAGTTTAGAAGCATTTGGTCAATTCCAAAGAACTATCTATGAGCTAGTGATAGCTAAGCACGAAAAATTAGATTTATACAAATTTGCTCATGGCAAATATGGTGCAAAAAAGGTCCAAACTACGATCAAATGAAGGGCAAAGATGGTAACTACCCCTTTTGCCCCCGAATTTACAACCCGATGTAAACTGGATTGCAAACACAGTATTTACCATCTTTGCCTTTGATTTCCTCGTGGTTTGCACTTTTTTGCACCATGTTTACCATGAGCAAATTTTGTGAATCTACTTTTTCGTGCATTATAAAATTGGCGCAGTTATGAGTCCGAACTCGCCAGTTTCTTGCCCCGGATCCACATACATGCATACTTTATTGTTTCCTCCCCAAAGTTGCTTGTCACGAACAATCATTATTTACAAGCATTACATAGAGGATATTACACGGTGGCGCGAAGATATGAATATTATTTGAGAGTGGCAAAACAATATTTTACTCACTCGCTGCGCTCGTTCGTAAAATATTGTTTTTGCCACGAGAAAAAAAAATTCATATCTTCAAGCCGCCGTGTAATGTTCTTTTTATTATATAGACAAAAAGACATCGATAAAATAATAGATTTTTATTCGCCAAAAAGAAATTGTGACGGCTCAAATTTACAGTACAGCAATATAAGACATTGTTTACAATAATCTTGAGAAATAACACTGAGCTGAATAAAGCTCTACAATGACAAAATATAAGCAAAGCTTTGAAAAATGTGTGATTAAAATTCAAAGGTCGTAAGACGCCTACAAATTTTGGAGGGAAATTACCGAAATTACGTCATCGATAAACTCACGTGTGAGATTATGGAAAATAAACCACTGGGGTCCCGGATGTAGTTTTTATGAATTTTACGAGTGGTATATTTTCCAGTAAAACACTCGTGTCTATATAATAAATTTCATTACATTTCAATAACTATAAGAGACGTTTAAAAATGTGATCAGGCTCTAAATTGTTCCAAAGCTTAATTGTCCTGTAATAAAAAGTGCTCTGTCCCGAGGCTGTTTGAAAAGAGGGATGTTTAGCTTTTGGCTACTCCGAGTTGTTCGTTTGCTAACTCGCTCACGGGTAATAATTGAGATATAAGATATTCAGGGGCTTAACAGGTCATGCATTTGAAGGCCTTTTAAAATAGCTTGGTGATAGAGTGGTCCTTAACAGACGATCAAGACAGGCTTTTTAAGAGGGGTGTTGCAGGATCATATTTTTTCACAGCGTTGGCGATTCGGCAAGCAAAGTTTTGAACAGCATGCAATTTCTAACGTACTTATTTGTGATATTTATCCAAAGATGCGAGCAGTAGTATATTTTGCTCAAAACCAAGGCATGTATTACGGTTAACAACGTATTTTTGTCTAAGCAATGTTTCACACAGTTACTTGTAATTTGCGCTAGTCGTCGTGCGATACATTCCGACACTGTGGTCGTTATATTGTTATCAAATGTTAAGTTCGGATCCAAAATTAAGCCGAGATCTCTCGCTGACTGCACTGGGGAGATGTCCTTTCCCAAAAAAGACAAATGACACTCATGGCGCTTAGAGGTCATTTGTCGGCTCCCGTAAACCTGAATTATCTTGTCTGGATTTAGTAGTAGCCGATTTCCGAAGCGCGAGTTGCTCACCTGCAGTAGATCTTCATTCATTTTTTGGACAATCCGTTGGGAGAAGTGTTAATTGAAAGAAACAAACAAATTTTGTATCGTCTACATAACATTCCCTAGAGCAATGCCTTGGAACTTCTGGTAGATCATTTACGTGTATGCTAAATAATAGGGGGCCTAGAATACTGCCACGAGGAACGCCACATTCAACTGGAAGAGGATCAGAAACGGAACTATGAACTCGTACAACATGATATCTATTTGTGAGGTAGCTGTTAAACCATTTTAACTCGCTGGGGCCTGTTTCTCGAAAGTCCCGATAATTAACGGGCCCGCAAAACTGTTGTTGTTTACATGCAAGGTAGAAGTTTCAGTATTTTTGCATCTAGCATGATAAAACTATCAGTCAATGAAACAGAAAGGAGTAGTTTGCTAGTCAGAACCCGCGCTCTTATTCTTTATATTTCGATTTGAAAATTTGATTTCGGGCCCGAAACGTTACCGGGGCCTTCGAGAAACGAGCCCCTGGTCAAGGCGCCTTTACTCAGATCTAAAAGTACGCAGGCAGTTAATTTCTCATCATCAATTCCTTTGAGAAATACATCAGTTGTATGAATTAAAGATGTTTCAGTAGAGAACCATCCACCACTTTTTAATCAATTTAAATTTGAAGGTAATAATGGAGGTTTCATAATAAATAAGAGGAAAAAAGCATTGACAACATGAGGAGGCTTTTCTTTTCATTTTTAGTCTCATGTGCAAATTGTTTTTTCTATTTATAAAACCAAGGTGTCCAGTCAGCGTTTTCATCTCTGTAATGTTTGGTCTCATAAGTTCAGATTATTGAACAATTCTTCGTTTCAAAAAACCTGTTTCCCTTATTTAAAAACCTGATTGTTGAAAAATAATTACCAGCCAAATATATCGTTAAACATCAGTAACATGTCAAAACATGGATCAGTGTGTTATAACGCCAAAGCCACCATGCTTCAGGGTTATTGACAAATTCGTAAGCAATCCGATATAACTGTGTACTTAAAAAATGGGCTGTAAAAAATTGGGAGATAAAACCAAGGTTTCGAAGAAAAAAGGTACATTGGTATCTTCAGTCTCATTGTTTCGTGAAAAAAGGTCGCCAGAATTGTTATTACATAAAAAAGGGTTTACTAAGAAAGTAGACAAAGTAAATTTTGTGTGACTTAATACCCCACACCTGAAAGATACAAGCAAAAATGCCTCTCATACCCCCACCTCATAAACACACAGCGTCTGCTAGCTAATTTCCTTCTAATAAACACAAAACGTCTGGTAGCTAATTTCCTCCTAATAAACAAGAAGCGTCTGCCAGCTCATTTCCTCCTAATAAACACAAAGCGTCTACTAGCTACTTTCCTCCTAATAAACACAAAGCGTTTCCTAGCTGTTAGTTTGGCTACGAAAAGCCTGTCCCGTGATTTTGCCTTGGATCCGTGGAACTTTCATTCCGCAGAACTGCAACGAGAAGAAAAAATTAATGATATTAATGGTGCAGATCAGCTTTCCTCACAAGTATAGACAAAATAGATCTGTAGTGTGTAAGTCTACCGACAGGTCTGTATGTATAAAATGGTCTAGAGTTCAAGCTTCGCGAACATTTTCCCATCAGCGATGTTAACATCGTCAAATCGCTGTTTGTTGACTGCAAGAAAAGCCCGTTACACGAGACAACATGTAAGATTTACTAAGGAAAACTAGCATTTTATCGTGCAACCGATTTGCAGATCAATTTTAACGGTGAAACGACTGAGTAATGACAAAGGGTTTGGGGAATTTAAAAAAAAAACCTTAACGGATTTGGTTCTGATTATTCGGCTAGATTCAAAATAAATTAGACAGACAAATATAAGGGTCCAGTGAGTGAGTTCGGGCATCCGTGTAAAAATTTCAAATGAACAAACTTCACCTAATAAATCACAGTTATACACATTTAAGTTTCTTCTATTTTTTTCATTGTACATAATTGTACTTCCTCCATAACAAAAAACCGGTCACCTTTTTTTGCTCCGCCTTTCCTATGGAAACGCCCGAGCAAAAATGAAAAGTGTTTAAAATGTTGCACTGAACTATCGTGAGCCACTCCAATTAAGTTCGTTCCTTTTCTTTTTTATTCCTTAGATTGTTAATATCATTTGTGAAAACATTCAACTGAACTAATAAACAAGTGGACATTGAAATTTGTGGTACGAGGCCTCCTGCTGATCGTGCAAAGTTGACTAGTTTAAATGACCACAAAACTATAATAACTTGTTTGCTTATTTATCTGAATACTTACATAATCAAACGTGGCTGCTTTTTCGTGGCACATCACAGCCAGATTATTTCACTCCTGGAAATATATCATTGAGAAGTAAATGAGACTCTTATCCACTTAAATCAAAATTCTTACTCTGACTCTTGAATTCTTTACTCTCATTTCAACATGAAGTTAGCTTGTTCCAGCCGTTCAGATATTAGAGCGCGGGAGAAGAATTCACGAAGAAAAAAAAACAGGGGAGACCTAGAGGAGAGAGCGTTCACCCGCCCTCGTTTTCCCGGAGTACAATTTAACTCGCTCTACACCATCTGTCCGCCGCGCTCTACTATATCTGAATCGCCTGCAACAGGCTAACATGAAGTCGATAAAAATGCCTGCGGGCAAAAGGCTCGAGCGGGCAAGATCAGCCTATCTTGCCTGTTTTTTTTTTTAGATACCCTTTTTGCTAAGGACCAAAATCTCCCTTGCTTAGAGCCTGTTTCGTGTGCCTCTAAAAGGTTTTGTTTCTATAGGTGGCGCAACTTGACATATCTGTTGTAAGCTTACTCCTGTATGGTAAGCTTTACCATACTTACCATACTATGTTTGAATAACCTAGATTTCACTCTTAAGTCATACTCCCTCTGCAAATGAGATAAACTTCCCTTGAAAGGTTAAGTCATTTAAAAGTTATCACCTACACGGAAGCTTAAGGGTCTTGGCACAGTGAGCCCAGTCACAAAGGAAATATATCTGATCTTTATATCACAGAGGGAATAACATTTAGGTAGGCTCCTGATGGTTATGAAATTTTACCTACTTTTTACTGCCATCGAGTAGTTTTTCCTTTTTCTTTGCCCTCCTTCATGGAAGAAAGAAAAAGTGAGTAAACTGACCAATAACTTTGAAGTAAACATCCTGATTGTCCCCAGGTTTACATGCTCATTAAACGATTTGGAACTACTAGTTTTTTCTATGTGATTGGTGTTGCTACGTCACTGAGGGGCCTGTTTATCAATAATCAAGGTAGCTTTCTGGCCCGATGCCAAATATCCCAAGAGATATAAAATTGAATTTAAAGAAAAGAAGGGAGCATCCTGCAGAGGATCTATATACCGAGCTAGGATCTCCAGCCAGGACTCGACGCAGGAGTCAACAGTTTTTCGCTTTCCCGCCATTTTCACCTCCTGCAAGTCACGTGAACATTAAGAGGAAGGTTTTCGTGGCAATCATGGAAGGTTAGCTCGAGTTTTGGTTAGGGTTAGGACGTTACCGGTCCTTTTTGTCTTATTTTTTCGTTTATTTATTATTATTATTATTATTATTATTATTATTTATTTATTTTTTGCTTTTAGAAAAATTAGAAAAGTCTTAACTGGAGTCCTGGCTCAAGTTCTGGCTTTGATGTTAGTTTATCTCGATGCCAACAACAGCATTTTGTTTTCGGTTAAGTGAAGGCTTTATCATCTTACCTGGAAAACTATGGAAAGGTCGATTTTGAATGTCAACAAAGTGGACGTGAAACAACTTTTTAGGTCTTTTGGTTACCTGGGGCCAATTTTACCAATCGTGCAATTTACAAATGTGCTCATATTTTTGTGTCCAGAACAATAGAGAATGAGACCCCAGGGTAAAGACACTGCTATTTCTTCTGCTACCACTTCAAGTACTATAACCGGGGGAAGAGGTGGAATCATGAGTTGAAAAACTTACTTCTTAAACCAAATGACTAAGACAATAATCAGGAGAAACAGGAGCAAAATAACCAGCAATGGAATGAGAACATTGATAACTTTAAAACCTGTGAAGACAAAAAAGTAGAAAGAGATAAACCTAAACGGGTATAGCTTTCGATAAATATTGAACCACAAAATTCAAAACGGTCGCAACGGAAAACAAATCTCAAACAAATGTGATTTTTTGCGTTCTTATAAGCTCCAAACAATAAAAAAGTCTAATCTGTGTGAGAGCCACCTCTTTATCGCGTTCACCTTGGCTTATTCATGGTGATCATAATCCCTCGGCGAGCTCCAGAATGTTTCCTATTGAGCACTCTGATGACGTCAATAAACTATACCTCGAGTTATTGTGAGCTTAGTAATCCTTCCAAGACGTCTCCTGAGTGCATCCATAACTCAACAGTACAAGGTTAAGCGTTTACCATGCGTTTTGTAACGTAAATTTAGGAGAAAACTTTTAAATTTTTAAATCGATAATGGGAAAAAGAGGTGAGTGTTGTTACGTTATTGTTATCTCCGCGAGCTGTGCGGGCTATGGCCTGTGTAGATCATTCATTAAGTGAAAATTAAAAGATACTTCTAGATTATTAATCAGAACGTAACTTAACAATACATAGCCTAAATAGAGCATGCGTTTTACTGTTTTTAGAAGTAGAGCGTGTTTCACGTTAGATTTGTGACAAACAACGTCAGCCTCCACTAGTAAACTATGGCAACACGTCAATGAAAAATTCAAAACTCAACGTTTCGGACGCCAGTAGACTGCTTTTTTTAACCGACTTTCTAAAGTTTTAAGGACTCAAAACATGGTTCGAGTTATCAAGGGTAAAATTATATAGAAATGATCGGAGGGAAAACAAAAACCACTTCAAGTTAACGGGAGGTTCGAGTTATCGAGGATTCAAGTTACCGAGGGTAAACTTACAGTAAATGTATGACGGAAATCCAGGGGAAATCGATTTTGGTTCGATTTGACATTTCTACAATTAAATGTGATTAAAATGTTTACTGTGCAGTACTCCCGGCCATTTTCTTCCAGCTCCCAATAACTCGAACTTTTTTCGATTTTCATTGAAGGCTCGAGTTATCGAAAGTCGACTGTAAATCAATTACCAGGAAAATGGAAAGCCGACACAGTTCTTGCCTTGCAAACAACAGTGAACGCTCTGCGGTTTGGCGAGTGCATTTCAGACCCGTGATTGGGTAGAAATAACGTATATTCCTGGCATATTTCAGATGTTCTCGTTTTTCCCTGTCGCACTGTAAACGTTTAGTTAAACACGGTTTAAAATTGCTTTCTTCATAAAAACTGGTCACTGACTTACGTGTGAGTTGATTGCAGTTTAGTGCAAATTGCAAGACATGTTGAATTTCATTTAAAGTAAAAACCTATATTCCAGTGTTTCGTGTCTGTTTTTCATTAAAACCCGGTTTGATTGGATATGTTTAGTCGGTGTAAATGGTGTATATCAAGAGTTCTCAATGATTCTAACTCAGTATGGACGCCACGGGAACGTTTTTCAACATCTTTCATTAACCGATGGGATCAAGAGTTGATCCACACCACATTCCTTGATTTGGCATGTGAGCATTCAAATTGGGAACGACAGTCATTGTTTATTGCTCTTTTTGGGTTCGTGCCCTTTTGAGTTTTATCAGGAGCCTCCTGGTTTACCCCAAGTAATATTGCTCGAGTCATGTTCTTTTTGCCGGAAAGATTTCAAAATGCTTGACTGCTGAAGGGGCTGCCCCCCCCACCCCTACTCCGGAACCGCACACCCCCCTAAAAGAAGTATTTAAAGACCATAATAATCACCTTTTGGGTTGCTTTGTTTATTGGCGTCTTTTTCACCCTCCGTAAGGGGCCTGGGGACAGAAGTAGGGACAGGTGTCATTCCTGGCTCCTTGTAAGAAGGTGTCACCGTAACCGTTGGCTCTGTGCTCGGAGATGAAGTTATCGCCATGGAGACCAATGTGCTAGGATATGAAGTCACTTTCAGGATCGAAGAGGTTTCGATTACATACTTCTTCTCAGAAAGAGCTGAAAAAAAATTATTTCGATAAATAATGCGTCTCTTATTGAGTTTGTAAGCTGATCATTAGGTCTAATACCTGCAGCTATACCTGTCACTTAAGGCTCGCTTCGGAGATGCTCATGTACCTACAAGCTATTTGTTCAACTTCAAAAACTTTTTATTAAATTACTTTCTTACTTGTAGCCCCTCTCGGATGGCGTCTTTACGATTCCGTTTCTATCCTTAGGAGCACTGACGTAGATTGTGCAGGAGATCGCGGTAAGTGTGGTACGACAAAATAGGAAATTGATTGTAAAGGACGTAACTGATGGGATGTTTAATATGCCCCCCTGAATATGCCAGATCTGAAGATATTATTTCCAGGCCCTTATTCAACTCTCCCAAAGAGCAGGTCAGAATTAAGTTTGCTTATCCGACAGACATGTCTTGTCGATAATTAATAGTTGTATTTTTAAGTCAACAAAAGTAAAGAATCGAGAAAAAACCTATTAATAAATCTTTAAATTTGTTGGTGAATTAACTAACCATTTTGTAACTTTTCGGAGCCGAAATGTTTTCGGGACTTTTGAGATAGGTTTTGGAGAAATTGACATGGTGAATGCAAAGAAAGCAACGTCTTACCTTTCGTACGTTGTGAAGTTACAACGCTATTGCTGACTGATGTGATTTTAACGTTACTACCTGACAAAAGCATATTTAGTTAACATGAGATGATGTTTTTTCGTCGCATTTATTTCTGTATTATATTCTTTCTATTTTTTTCCGTGATGGACAAAATAGTCAAGGTCTTTTAAAGGTAGCCCAGAACGACAAAAAAAAACCTCAAAACCTTTCTGTCGCTCAAACTAGTCTACTGAGTTGAAATGGCGGTCCTTCTTATTGTTGTTATTAAGAACCTCGTTCCTGTGTTGACGAGGATAATATATCAGCGAGTTATTTTCCGTGGACGTTATTGATCTTGGGTCTCCGTTTTGTCTGGTCTTCCCCAAGGAAATGTGTTGGAACCCGTTTTATTCCTGCAATCACGTAACAATTTGCATCTAGCGGGTGTTTATACAAGAGGGGTTGGAAAGGTAAAGATTTTCCAACCTGCCGATACTAGGGTTTTGCGAAAAAAGAGGTAAAAATATGAAATACTAGTTTGTTTTAGACTCTCTCTGATTGATACTATAATTGCGGTAGAGACCGCATTGCCACCCGTATACCCGTGTTCTGTAGACAGTGAACAGTCATGGTGCTTTTTTAATTTCTTCAGAGTATAAAAAAGAATGCCTGGACTACTAAAAGGTATAGAGTGAATTTACTAAACCCGTGAATAGGTAGTAGAATACTACGCACTATTAGAATTCTATTGTCTTCTTTTGTTCATTTGCAGCTATTTGCACTAGTTGTTATTAACTGTTTTATGGGTCAAGTAAAATCGCTCTATATGGAAACATGAAAAAGATTAACATACTTGTGGCTGGAATTGTTGTGGTACTGCGAGGTTCACAGTTTTTACCAACAGAATCATCCAAACACTGACAGCTGTAGTCATCAACGTTTGGAATACAGGTTCCGCCATTCTGACACGGGTTTGTATCACATGGTGTCCAATCTTTATTATTCATTACACAAATAAAAAAGCATGAAGTCAGTTCTAGTTACAACTCTAAATATTCAAGGATTTGGTTCGATAGACACAGTGAAAAAAGCGGGGAGTTAAGGAAAATCTTCCAGCGCTACCTTTAAATGATGCACCTGTTATTTCCTTGTTAAACGTTAGATTTAACAGGGATTTTTCTGTTTTAGGTCAATTCTGTGTTGAAGTCATTACTTACTGCGTTTAATCATACACCATTGCTCCGTTAGAGATAATTAAGACAGTATTTAAACAAAACGCTTCAGGGAGCACTAATCATAAGACTTTTTAGGTGATTTTAAAAGTTGAAAAGGTTGGCCAACTTTCCCTAGTCATGTTTCAATCCATGTCCATCCTTATCATCCGTTACAACAGACGACATGAAACAGTTGTATCACCCACTAATGTAATAATCCCGGGGGAGACTCCGCATATGATAAGGGTGGGGATGCTCGTCGGAAATTTTTAATTAAACCCCTAAAGGAGACCGATCTGGGCGTGGCCCAAGCTTTTTTTGACCCGTAAAAGAGACCATGTTAAAACACAGACAATATATATATATATTTTATATTTTTTCGCGTGCAACCGTAAACGAGACCTTCACGGCTAAATATGATGGCGTTTTGCCCAGATCACCCTAAGTGAGACCGAAATTTATACCCCTAAGCGAGACGACAAGTATCCCCACCCCTTTCATATGGGAAGTCCCCCTCCCCCGGGGTAATAATCGACCACTATTGTAACGCTAACTACTATTGTAACAAATATCGACCACTAATGTAACAAAAAGTTAACCACCAATGTATTAATTTTTTAACCTATGATGTAATAAAAAACTTAACCACTAATGTAATAACATTGTGACCATTAATGTAAGAAACTCAAAGAGAACAGCTGATTGGTTATGTAGAATTATTAGGATTTATAAAAAAATCTGATGCGACCTCCTGCTTTGATGCCAGGCATTGCCGTTTCAACGCCCAGCGTTGGTCACGCGTCCGTTGCCTAATACTTTGTATCACTGTAGAGGTTCATATGTTAGTGTGCGTATATATTGCAAATCAAATGCCACCAAGTGTTTTTGAGTTTGTTACTTTAATGGTCGCAATGTTACTGCATTAGTGTTTAAGTTCTTTTTTTAAAAAAATAAAAAAATAAACGGTGCTAGCTTTCTTCACTTGCAGCCAATGGCTGAATTGCGGAGGAAACAGAGAGGTGAGATCGGACGTCAGCGTGTAAAGGTGCACTCTTGCAGCCACTTCAGTCCTTGTTTTGATCACACCTCGTCCCCCCAGACCGATGACGGTACAAGTCAGATACACCATGACATCGGCGCCTACGTCCCCTACTCTTTTCGAGCAATTTTACAGGTTCTTTTACGTCCCCTTCCAACTGAAGTCCAAGGATGAAGGAGACAAGGCCAACGGCTTAACGTCACCGCCCAATGACGCGGTCATCTGAACTGAGAAAGGGCATTCACAGCTAGAATGATCTCAACAGTTTTTTAAAGACCTTGGTTGATGGTGCGGCCCCGACGGCCGGGGTTTGAAGTCACGACCTCCCCGCTCAGCAGACCGGTGCTTTTCCAACTGAGCTAACCGCGCGGCGGTTACATTAAAGGTTAAAAAATTATTACATTGGTGGTTAACTTTTTGTTACATTTGTGGTTGATATTTAGTACAGTAATGGTTATTATTATTCAACTTCACTCAGCAGAGTACAAATAACACCCAAAACGAGTACAAATATCTCACGGTATTTGTACTCCAGAAGACCGGTTTGAGTCGTTTTCTACAAACGTCGCCCAAGGCAGATAATGCATCGTTTCCCGAAATTGTATAAAGGTTGAATCAGAAACCGTGTTGTCAGAATAAAGTTGCCTCAACAATGAAATTTCGACATTAATTAAAAACAGTCAGAACATACAAACATTATAAGTTCAAAATTCTACAACAGAGAAGATCAAAACAGACCTGAACGTGTGCATTAGATGCAAGGTGACGGCGACAATCCGTGACACAAACAACGTTGATTTATTCAATGTCCCCCGAGGAGCGTAACAGTCTCCACTTCTAGCCCTTTTCAAATGTGAGGAAACTCGATAGGGAAGACTTTAGACGTCTTCTAAAGACTTAACGTTAGTACTAATCCAGGCCAAGATGAGGTTTCAAGTCCGTTACGTTTTTTACGAGTAGCTCCTTCAATTTCGCGGGAGATGTTTGGTCTTTGCATCGCCATTTGCTCTGCTCAGTTTACCCTCTTGCAGTCGGTTTTACATAAGAACCGGAAGACCTTCCTATTAGCCTCACAATTATTTGTCATTCCATCTCTGTTTTCCTAGCAAATATTTGAAACGTTCTCCGAGGCGCCGAAGAAAACCCAAGAAATTCGCCAAAATTTGCTTTGCTGAGAATTAAAACTCGTTTAACAAGTTTTCATTTTAGACCAATCAATAACAACGTTGCCTAAAGCGCGCTAGAACTGGACTTAGAAAGGAGTCGCGTTAATCAGTCACGCGTTCTCGTTTTATGTATTTACTGAGTCTACTGAGTTATATTTTAAAACATTTCGAGTTGAATAATAAATCTCTAACCAGTTGGTTTAGTGTGTAGTATCGTGGGACATTTTTACTCGTATCTTGTATTTTGACTCGCCCTACGGGCTCGCCAAAATACGGCGTGACTCGTAAAAATATCCCACGACACTACACACTAAACTCCCATAAGATATATGTATTACATTAGTGGTTGATATTTATTACATTAGTAGTTAGTGTTACAATAGTAGTCGACCCACTATTAGTGAGTGGTACAGCTTCAATGCCTAAATATAGTCTTAAATGCTAAGACTAGGTCATTTTTGGGAGTTCGAATGATGCCAAGACAAGTTTTAGCTTTTTAGAAAGATAGAAAATACATAGCCCCTTTAAGGTGGTCTCCCTAACTACAAGATATAAAGACTAAATACCCTTTGGGAGTCGGCATTATATAGAGTAGGCGATTCACTTGGCAAGGGAAACACTAAGAACAGTTTCAAGGCTCACTACAGTGCACTCTTTACAAAGTACTCAGAGCTCAGGCTGTTCGCATGGTAATGTAATAGCGAGTTGAGCAATCCAAGTTCAACTTTAACCGAAAGGAGTTTCTCACATAAGAAAAGTTAATTTTAATGGAAAGAGACCTAAGTTTTAAGTGCAGGGTAACTTTTAAGTTACTCTTGATAAAATCTTATAAAGTTTCATCTAAGCTTTGGTCCTATTATGGGAATGGGTCTCCAGATTAGATCATCGTTGCTTTTGCTAGGTGATGGGCATTCCTTGCACGGTGCTATTTGTGGAGTCACAGGAATATATGACACTTCGATAAGACACGTGATTATAATCAGTATATAGCACAGGCGGCCCAAGCTCAATTTATAAAGGTCGTTCAACGGAAGGATTGTATGGGCGAGCAAACATATGTGAAAGTGAAGAATGATCATCGCAGTAAATTTTCCAATTTAAGCAATTGGAAAGAAGAAGCCTGAAAAAAATCAGGGCTTCAACGGGATTCGGACCCGTGACCTCCGCGTTACCGGTGCGTTGCTCTACCAACTGAGCTATGAAGCCACACATTGGGAGCGAGGTCAATTTATTGAGTTCATATCTCCCATGAGGAGTGAAATGATGTGAAGTATAAATGAAATAATTCATGAATTATTATGAATTATTTCATTTATACTTCACATCAAACATATCTGAGTTACAACAATCGGTTCAAAGATTACAAAGGTTTTTATGGGATCGCGACTGATTTAATTAAAAAAAATAACTATAATTTTTGTTTAAAAGTTAACTTGACGTCTTTCCATGTTGCATTCCTCGTCTTTTATTTGCATTTTAGCCCCATTTCTGCGGATCTCGACGATTTACCGTGGATCGAAACTGTTCCGGTTAGCTCAATGGGATAAGCGCCTGTCTGCTGAGCGGGAGGCCGTAGGTTCAAACTCCGGCCGGATCAACATGGTTTGACTTTCTAGTCTTCTCGGATAAGGACGATAAACCGTTAGGCCCCCGTCTCACAAGCCCTTGCACATGTAATAAAAAATCTGTGGGAAGTTAACTGAGAACCCACACACTCTTCGTAAAGAGTAGGGCACGTCTAAGACGTCTTAGACGTCCTCTAGTATAAATACGGCTAATCCTTCCGTTGAACGACCTTGTTACACAACACCACACGATATTTCTATAATCGCCTAATTTGTCTCATTATGTAATGATTTACGTAATAATTTGTTATCAAGTCATGCTGATGACACTTGATTGACTACAGTCATCATTGCATTATCCTTGTTATGATTTGTTTGTTTGTTTGTTTGTTTGTTTTTTTTATATTAAAGCTTTTGCAATACTGTAACTACATAATTATAGTCATGCAAATAAAGCTTATGTTGTTGTTGTTGTTTGCCTATTGTTTACTAAATTGAGCTTGGGTCGCCTGTGTTTACAGAGGAGAAAGGTGGGTAGTCACCTGTCTAATGGCCCTGATGAACACAAATATTGAGATGAAATTTTGAGATGAGTAATATCTATTTCTGTTTCGTCAATGTCAGTGAGTTTTTCTCGAGAATAAAAAACATCTGCATCTCGTAGGAGATGCAGATTCTTTGATTGCCCTATAACAAGGCGCAACAAACCTTTTTCGCAAACCGACTTGCGTTTAGTTGAACATACCCTCGAATGCCACTTGAAGTTTTTGTCTTTATACATATGAACACAGTGTTTTTTTGTGTTTGGATGACCTTTTATCCAGTAAGTAAAGTTAACCTTCTCTCCACTGACCCACTCAAATGTGTTGTTTGTGCTGTTTTGACTGTTGAGACCATTCCAACCCCCAGCGTTTCCCATGAAAGTCTTCAGAAATTCCTGCTCATGAATATCATTGACAGTTACAAGATTGGCTTGTTTCGATTCACAGTTGGCCTGGGCATCAGTAAATGTTTTACTGTCCACATCACGGAAATAACAGCTCCTATGATAATATGACCAATCTTGCTCGCAGCTTCTATCTGCAATACAATGTTGGTATCATTTGCCAATTTTAGTTCGGGTTTTTAAAAGATGGAGAGTGTGGATTTGTTTTGAAGTTTTGAGAGATACCATGCATATGCAAAAGAACATGCCTTACAGTTTCGTTAATAAAACTTTAAATGTCTATGTCTTCTTCTTCTACACAAATCATTTATATTTTTATATTTATTGTTATAAACCCAACCTCATCCCCAGGTTTGTTCCGGTTTATCCCAGTTTACAAGGAAAAAGGTCTGGGAATGAAGTTGCTTACACAGATCGACAGAAATACTGATCAGCTTTCCCAACACATGTCGTGGGAGAGATGTCGTTTGGTTTCCAGCCAACAGCTTCTATATGTGACGGCGGAGCTGGCGTTTAAAGAAGTGCTTTGCACTCGGCTCGGTAGTAAAGGGCCTCTGAACACAGCTTAGATGACCGTACAGGGGTCTGATAAGCTGATAAGGCCTGATAAAAGTGAAACAGCTGTCCATGGCTGCCACTGCCTGGGTGATATGGCTGGGCGCATGCGTGAGGTACTGGCCAAGCGTTGGGATGGTGTAGGTGTGTCCTTTGCTTCAAAGTTTTATCACCATCATCATCACGTCTCATCGCGCCAGTAGCCGCAAAAAGCCTCCTTGCTGTCTGACCAACACTCTCAGTGAGTGTTGTCTCATTATCAACGCTTCCAGCCTCGTCCCCAGGGGTCCCTTTTGTCATGCGCCGGAAAAATCCCGATCCCCGTCGCCGACCAAAAGGATCGCGGCCTCTGGGAACGAGATTGCAACGCTTCTTGTTTCTGTAACAGTTAGTGTTTTTGTGTGGTAGGGTCGTTTGCCCAACCTGGAGGACCAGGGGGTCACTCTCTGGCTGGTCTCTACCCTTAGTCCAGGAGTGCAAGACTTCAGCCGACGTAGCTCTATGGATCATTGAGACACGCAAACTGTCCCACCATGATAAGGTGGTGACTTCATTTGCTTCAAAGTTTGCTTTCTAATAAAAAAAGTAAACAGAGAAGCAAATCCCAGTTTTCAGAATTCTTGTGATTTTTTTTTTTGGAATTCGCAAGAAAATTGGGTAGGTGGAAAGGAGAGGAGAGGTATCTTCTTCTGTTCGTGTGACGATTTCGCAGTTTGTTTGTGGTGAATAAAGTTTGCTCTGACATGCTTCACTGCTTTTAAGAGGATTTTATAGCCGGCAAAGTGAACGGCCTGTCCATCCTATTTTCTTGTCAGAGATCGAAACAATGTAAATATTTCTTTCTAAGTGTAACCTGAAAGAAAATCCATGATACCCGAGAAGTGACAAGTCCTTCTTGTGAAAAGTGACAATTTTAAAAGAAATGAAAGTTTCTGTCACTTAATGTACAAACCCTTCAATGATTTTCTTAATGTTTTGCTGACGAATCATTGACTTTGGGAATTAGTTAAACCTCGTCTTGATATATCTATAGTACAATTGTGGCTTCCCTCAGCTCCCCTGCCCTAGGCTTAGTGTCTGAAATCCCATTTTCCCAGGGCAAAAACCCGCAGGCCAGTCCCAGTTCTCGTTGGCCCCTTTATGGACCTCACACAAATAATTTTTCAGATTCTGAGAATTGCCCACGATGCTCGCCCAAACTGTTGATTATCGCCCAAATTATAATGAATCAAATAGTCGTCATACTTTAGTATTCATCTTATTTTTATAATTACTCAGTAACCACTTGTGTTTAGGAAAAACTGTTTGAATGCAGAGGTCCACGCAACGTTTGTTACGCAACTTGTGTTTGTTACGCCTTTAAGAAGTGAATTGCTTAGTGTACAGGATATGCTAACTAGAAAGTAAAAAAACGTTACATTTTGTTCAACTTACTTTCTGCTCTGGAAACAGCAACTGAAACAGAACAAAATGATGGTTATTCTTAAATTTGCTTTCAAGAGCATTGAAGTTTTCAATTTGTTATTGCGGTGCTTATCTAAAACTGTACTATTTGGGAATAGCTGATTACTACTGTAGTAACTTCCTTTTTCTTTGATTCTTTAGAAAACAATTACAATGCAAAAAAGGTCAGTCAATAAAAGAAAATAACGATATCTGCCGTGTTCTCATTTCATCTTTAAATATGTTCTTAATCAATTAGAGTTACAGTGAAGCAGAAAGGATGCCGCTCTTATTTGGTGGATGCTTTTGAAGCGAAAAGGCAAGAGAAAGACGGGGGGCCGCTGTATGATCTGTTGAAAATGGTAAAACTGGGCGCGCTAACACGAGAAGAATCCGCCCGTGAGGAAAGAGGAAGGACTTCATTTACGTGTTACCTCGCTTGCCCAAAACGCCTGAAGCGCAGTTTCATTTGAGAGCCGCGTCGTTTCATAATGCTTTACTTAACAACGAAAACAACAACAACAACAATAAGATACTTACAATGTGTAATGAACAAAGCTACTTGAAGCAACATAATCCTGTAGCTGTAAGAATATCTATGAAAAACGGAATAAAAAGATTTAAGACCAAAAGTTTGAAGACATTTATAGCCAAAAGTTTCCACACCCACATTTTAACTTAATACTAGCCAATGATGGAATCAATTTTACGCATATTTCATTCGCCAAAGTGTTACAATGCATAAAGAGTTGTTCAGAGGGCCAAATGAATGTCAGAAACGATAATTTAGACCCCCCAAAAAGTCAGGCTAGGCTGGCCAGCGTAATGGATTTCAGAAAACCGGCTTTGTTATTGGGTGCTTCCGTCCAATTTAACGTACGTTCGAATCTCATCTGGAGCTCGGAATTTTTCCTGAACATTCTGATGCTTGATTTCCATTTCTTTCAAAACTAATAGATCAAGACGGTAGACCTTCATAAATAATAGCCAGACATGACTAAGATTCTGCTACTAAATTTACGACTTCAAAGATTTTAAGAGATCGCCGGCCAATCAGTAGGTGTCTCAAGATGCCCTCCTTCGAAAAAAAATTAAATATATTTTTGTCTTAAAATTTTGACATTAAACCAGTAAAACGTTTTAAATAAATTATTATTTTGCTTACTTTCCGGGCAAACTTAGAGTTGTACCATCATCAGTATCTAGAAAACTCAGTCTTTTGCGCTGATCGTTTTTGCGCAAGGAAAGGGAAAAAGGTTGTGGTTACCTTGGAGTAATGTTCTAACTGATTAATTTCTGTTTGGCCTCCGCAGGACAGATATCAGTAGATAGATTAAAATTGTGAATACATTATAATAGGAACTGTTGGGAAAGATGTCTTAAAAGAGCTAGACAGTGGTAATAGTTTTCTAGCAGAGGGATCGAGACTGATTTTTTGTTGTAGCTAATATTTGTGTGCAATAATAAAGAAATGCATCCCTCGTATTTCTTATTTTCAGAGCTGTTGTTGAGACTGGTTCTCAAGGAGGGGTGTCATTTTTAGTAAATTTTAAGCACTACTTTACAAGATAATTATCCTGCACGAGATAGGTCTATCACCTCTTGTGTGGGGCAAAACTTTGTGCTAGTATGAAGAAGAGTGAGTTGACGGGGTTAAATTTTAAACGGCGAGAGAAAATCAAAAGTAAAAGAATTCCCTTTTACAGTCGTGTTTGCAATCTTAACTTCCATTGGAAGTATTGCTCGGCCAAATTTGTGTATTATCTTAATTCTAAGTAATAGCATGTGAAAAACATATTATAGTAATTAATTCATCTCCGTTTGTTCTGTTTTTACCTTATTGTACACAAACATAACAAAATACGTATACGCGTTTTTTTGCCCATTGATGTACTTACCTCTCCCAAAAAACTTCGAGTCTGTTCTGGGCTTGCATGCAGTCAGGCCAGTTCTGATACTATGACAGAAAATTTGCATAAAAATTACTGCACACGAAAAAAATTCTTCCATTCTATGCCGCTGTTAGTTTATCACAAGTTTTAGGAAGAACATAATTGAGGAAGGAATAAAGCATATGACATATGAGCTTTTTCCATCCCAACTATCAATAAAGCTAACACACTGCAGGTTACACTTGTTCACGTCTCAAGAGCAAATTTCGCAACTAAGCCTCGGTTTGAAATTATAAATTAGCAAAGGTTTACACTGATAAATTCCCAACGCAGTAGAGACTGCCCAAGCAACAAAAAGTGCAAATGCATTGTGGTGCCAAGGGCCATTCGCTTTTCCTTGTGAGTACTGAAATATGCAAACAATTCAATATTTTAATAAAATTGTTTTCCATGTAAAGAGGACAGTGGTGGATATTGTGACTTATTTAAACAGGAAAACAAAAAAACAATTGTAGAGGAATAAATGTATCGATTTTCCTCTTTACCTCAAAGTCTGTCAAGTAAATGTTGTTAAATTATACTCTGAGGATATAAGTGTACGAGTGTAAATAAATTCAATTCGATATATAAGAAGCTTAAAAATAAAACAGAAAAATAAAAATAGTTTGTCAAATAAGAATTTAGTGGTTATAAGCTCAGAGAAGTACCTGGACATTTGATTCTTCTGCCTCTACTTTACGCAACGATTCTACTTATAAACGGCTCCTGTTTCTCAGCCGAAGTATGACTAAACTATTTGCTCCACCTGTCGCCTTACTGAAGCGTTTGCCTTTTTGTTTATAATCCTTTATTAACTTTCCTTGCCACGAAACTGAGCTACAAATCACTGAATTATTAAACGTATGTTAATATTTCAGCAATGGCTTAGCAATTTGCTCCGGCCTTGTGATCTTGAAATGTTGAAGTGGTAGTGTTTTATTAAGAATACGACGTGCCTAATAATCTGTAGTTGATCTTATTTCATCTACCATCTTTCGGCTCAGTATAGTAGAAATTTGTTATTGATAAACAGAGAACTAGCAGAATATGCCTGAATGTAAAATAAAAACTGTATTGTCTTATTATTGTCACGAGGGTTTTTTAAAAGGGCATGACAACATTCCTTGTTTGCTCTTATGGTACTCCAGTAACAATATTAGAATCATGCCGCGACTTAAACAGTAAAAAAAAAAGCTCTTTAAAAGCTCTTTAAAGTTGACTCAGACACATGCTTTGATATATCTGATCTAATCCTGTCGATTTTCAGTAGACATTTCCTAAGCTGGATATACAGCCCAAGCATAGGAGAGAACAGAATTTTTACATCTTAATTAGAGCTCATTTTGACAACTGATCAATTCATCTAAGGATAAAAATTCTGTTAGAGAAATTGTTTGGTGGAAAAAGTGCATTCTTTTTTTGGAACTGTATTAGATAAGATCTGAAACAAAAGCTGAGAACATAAGACCCCTTTACTAGGTATACATGATAGAGTGCTGGCACCCCAGGTAAGAGTCTAGCCTTCAGCAGGGGAACGGACGACTTAAAACAGTGTTCTCAATCAGTACGTCGTGTTAAAACATTGACACTTGAAAAGAGCACCTTTTTTTCGCATAACGACTTGGGTAGTGTAATGTAATTTAAGCATTTTGTGTTACGGGTAACTTGTTATTCAGATGATTAGGGATATTTGCAGGCAATCATATATCGATGAAGCCTGCACAATATAAATATACAATCCCAACCAGTATTTTGCTTCACATCCATGTCACAAAATCTAACCGAGCGTTTTAACATATCAGATGTGTCAGCATTTTTGCTGTATATGAGAGAATTCAAGACATGTAATGAGCACGTCTGTAAAGCTTGATATCAACCGAAGGTCGCATGTGTTTTTTCAACTTCTTAAAAATTTTCCTAACCCAATGTGAAAGATAAGTACTATCCACTTTTGTATAAGCGGGCGCAGCGAAGCCGTTGTGCATTTATTAAAGTTAATGCTAGTAGTGGAACTCGGAGCATGTCGGAGAGCGTCAGAGAACACGTTGGGAGCTTACTCTTGAACATATATTTTTTCAGAAATCTTTTAAGCCTAATTCTGATTTATTCATTGGCTTCTGAACCCAACAAACAAAGGAGGTGTATTTTAGCGTTTAGTGAAAATGTCGACAGTATTGCTCCGTTCATATCCAAATTTGCTGAGTATGCAAATTGTCGGATTTGATGCATGGCAGGTGCAGATGGTACCCATACCTAAATATTGCGATATTTTTCGCATTGTAGAAGTGTAGAGGAACGAAATAATGTGCACTATTTGGGGCATGGACGTGATATCAGTTGATTTGTTAATCATTCAATATCATACTTTAAAAAGCGATGCGACACCCAAGGGTTCCTTCACTGGCATGCAATTAAAGTGTATTTCAGTGCAGACACGAATTTTCTTTCTCTCGTTTTTAGTCCTACAGTATCTGTAAAATTTGTATCCAAAATTTAAACTCCTCAATGATCTTGCAAAAACTATTTTTATGTCCTCAAAACACGCAAATTTGTCTTAAAAAATGTTCCCCCTTTCGCGCAGCTAAATTGACAGGTATTACGTAGAATTACAGATATTTGCACGAATGTATATAACTAAGAAGATGCATGGAGGCAAATGCGAAGGTTTATCATTGCCTTAAACTCCCCAATTATCTGCAGAATCTTTATTTACTTAGCCGTACCTTTGTTACAGTCAGTTACATCGCTTAATGACCAGAATCAGAAGCGAATGCAAAGTAAACTAACTGAAGTCACATGACTTTATCAGCCTTTCTTTCACCTTTACTTATTCCAAGTCTTTTCAAGTCAAATTTTTCGGGAGACATATCAAGTCAACAATTGTTGATTAAACTTATTTATGGACCAAAATCAGTTTGAAAAAAATTCTTGTCACAAGCTTGAACTAAGAAAGAAAAAGTCATCAGTCATCGTGTATTTATTTTCACGTCCTTCAGATAACGTCGCCTAAGGAAATTTCATGTCATGGTCGTGTGGGGACGGCAAAGAAATGTACACCTGAAAAAGCGTGCTTCACGTTTAAAATTTGTTGTTTAACTTTTTGAAGCCCGGCTTTTTGACGTTGTTCTCGTTGTCATCGCCGTCGTCATTGCTAAACTGCAACCCAGTTTCATCGATGTGTGTAAACTGTTGGGAATCCGGCCGAATGTTCTTTTAGTATGAACGCTTGCGAAATGATCCTCATACCATCAATGTTATAAATCCGGAATACTGAATCCAAATCATTTATGAATCCTCTAGTGTAACCGCAGCACCTAAGCCTACAATCTAGTGGTATCTCAGACTTTTAATTGCAAATGAGTGATTCTCTTAAGGCTATTTGCCATATTACTTTTGACCGAAGAAGCACCATACGTTGATGTAATCATGTCCTACTTTGTCTAGTGCGAAGACAGGCTGAACTGAAAACAACGTGTTGCTATTCGCGCTTTTCCAGCAGTTTCTCTATGTATCATATATCATTGAAGATTCGGTCTACCAATAGACTGCGAGCAGTCTCTCTTTTTCTTCAGATTTAGTGAGGGGAGTGCATGCGCGTGTGAGCGTTCAGTAACCTGCGTGGTCATTTGCGTGTCTCGCGCGTTTTGTTCGATGGACCAAGAAAAAAGAGAGACTGCTTGCAGTCTAGTCTACCAATGAATCACGTATTTTTTTTGGAAGCCGACATTCGAGAATAACTTTTGAAAAGGAAAAATTAAACAGTCGCTGTTTAATGCATTGAGCCAAGCCGTGCTCTTAAAATAGTTATCTTTTATCTATCTTATCCTTTGCTTTTATTCACTTTTGTAATACATATTATTTTATTATTACTTTTTTTTGCCCTCGACTTTTTCAGGTAGGCACGTGCGTACCGTGCGTACAGGTAGCTTCGCCCCTTATAGTTGCCCCTCCCTTTTCGTTCAGAAAGAACTAAATCTTCCAAACCACCACCCAGCACCCTTTAACATTCAATGACCGTTCGTTTGGTCAAAAAAATGGCAAACCGTGTTTGCCTACACAAAGCACTTCATCAGAAGCTTTTAAGACAAAAAATCTTAATAGAGTGACCGATCAATAAACTTCACTTGCTAGTTCTAGCCTGTTACCTCAAATTTTCAAAACGGTAATTCCCCCATTTAACATTGCCGGTACGAAGTTGCAAAAGCCATTGCGTGTTTGCAAGAGGTTTATGGTCTCATTATGACCTGCCATTATGTGACAGCTGTTCTTCACTTCAATTAGCATGAAGTAGTATGAAAAAATTTAAGCATCGTTTTGAAGACATTTTGATAGTTTTATTTTCTAAATTTAAGCGTAGGAGGACGGAGATATTCAAAATGACAAAGAAGGCGGCAAATTTCTATTTGCTGAAACAAGTGATGGCTATGTGTATTGAATTTTGACAGTTTTTTAGTTGGAGCGTCGAGCATATAAGCATGCACTAATCGCGAGCGAAAAGAGCTGTACAATATCCTCCTGAACAATGTATGTGAAAAAAATAAATTGGGGTCGATTAACGTTTAATCCTATTGCTAGAAGTTTTTTCAAGAAGCGTTTCAATTCATGCCTTTTAGACCTGATGTTAGTATCAAAGTGAAGTGGCGGCCGAGATCATTCAAAAAAGAATTAAAAAAATTACGTGCGCTTGAGCTTAGTGGTCACGTCTGAAACAGCTCCGCTCGAACTTTTGAATTTTTGTTATGATTTGATAGCCTTTAGTCTCTTTTTCAATTAACTGTTTTCGTGTACTATAATATTAGAACTTCTGAGACTGACCTGCCTCGATAAGCGTAGCTACCTGCAGATCAGTAGGATTGTGAACAGAACGTATTACTCAAAAAATAAACTTGGAACTTGAAACTGTTAGGAATTGTATAATAAACTTACCTGGTAAACTAGCTACTGAACTTTTCGATTTGTCCTTAGCTAAACAGTATGCTAATTCCTTGAAAAGGGCTGTGAAAATAAAAACGATATCTTAAAGGTTAACTGGGTGGTGGCATAGCTCACTTACTATCTTGCCAAAGAAACCCAACATATCGTTATTATTATTTTTGGCTACCATATCGTGTGCCAAATTATGAATTATTTTCTTGCCAAAGCCCACATCACTCACAGTTTAATTGCCTGCGTGCAGACGTCTCCTATTTCCTCTGTTGCACGGGGAAAAGGGACAACAAAGGAAACAGGAGACGTCTGGACGCAGGCAAACAGTTTAAAGGCCGATACACACGAGGGGTTTTGCTCCCGGAGCATGCTCCAGTATCATTTTGCACGTGTCAGTACACACGAGGGAGCGTTATTTGCCCCGGGAGCTTGCTCCCAAATATTTAACTGGTTAAATATCGTGGAGCATTTTGCGCAGAAAAACAAAACCGCACCTAAGAAAACACTGCCCTTTATAACACAATACCATCCGGCGTTGCCTAACCTAAAGGACACACTCATGGGGAAATGGCACCTTATAGAAAATCAACCGCAATTGAGAGAAATCTTTAAGGAGCCCCCCATCATCTCATATCGTAAGGGAAAATCCCTCAAGGACATCCTAGTAAAGGCTTTACATGTATTGGAATTTATTCATCCACGAACTGCAGGAGTCGTGTAGGCTTGTCAACACTGTTAGCAGAGTTGACAAAGGTCTCTCGTGAGAATCAAGGTGACGAAATAAAAATTCAGAATTATCATATGATGCTGAGTTTAGATTAGTTTCTGATGCCTCTAACAATCTAACCAGTCCAACGAAAAACTCTTCGTTTGTTCGGTAGCCATCGCGAAGCCATGACGACGATCGCATCAGAGATGAGGAAAGCTCGGGTTCCAAGCCTCCCATCTGTAGACTCGTACCTAGTAGTTACTCGGTTCCTGTGTATTTTTACTTCCGCTTCCTTTCGAATTGAAATTTTGGTTTTTCGAATTCGAATATGTGACGTGACTTTAAGTTCAAATTAAA